TCATAGCACACCGCATCCTCCTTAATGATAAATCTGATTGGCATCATCCCTGCTATGACACAGACGGCCTCTCTCGAGATAATGCGGTATGCACTGGCCACTCTCAAGCACATTAGCCTGTGTGTGCTCTCTAATTTCCGCCTGTGGCAGTCAATATCCAGTACCGCAGCCCACGCAGGGCCGCCGTATCTGAGGATAGATACTACTACCCCTGTTGAGGATGACCCTCTCAAGCAGTTTCCCAGTGGTGTCCAGCAAACAAATGGGCCTGTATGTTGACGGGTCCCCAGGGGGTTTTCCTGGCTTCGGGAGCAGCACCAGCCTCTGCCGCTTCCACGCATCTGGGAAGATGCCTACGTCCAGACAGGTCTGAAAAACAGAACGGAACATGTCTGGATTTTCGGCAACGGCCGCCCTCAGAGCCACAACCGGGATCCCATCTGGGCCCGGGGCCTTGCTCACCACCAGCGACTTGGCATTATCGCCAAGTTCACTGTTCGTGACTCTAGACACTTCTCCCTGGTCCGCGCCTGGGATCCGCGGCCAGGAGTCTACGTCCCTACGTGGGAACAGGAACCCAACGATCGGAGCCAGTACCGCTGGTGATTTCACCGGGGGTGCCGTCAAGCCGCGGGTCTTTGCCATGACCACTTTGTAGGCATCCCTCCATGGGTTCGTGTTGGCGCTTTGGAATAAGCTGTCAAAGCACGTGCGCTTGCGTCTGGCGATCTCTTTATTGAGTGCCGCCTTAGCCGCTCGAAGAGCGACACGGCGTTCCTCCCGAGATTCAATCGTACGAGCTCGTTTCATCCTCCTTCTCGCCTGGAGGCAAGACGCTCTGAGGATAGCAATCGACTCGCTCCACCAGTACACCGGTCTATGGCCATGCCTGGGATAGGCTCTCCTAGGCATGGTTGTATCGCACGCCCTTGTCAGCGCTGCTACCAGTTCTTCCCCCGTCAGATCCGGAGTTATTCGCTCCCGCCTCAGTGCTTTGCCGAAGACCTTTTCCTCGAAGAACGACGTCCGCCAGCCTCGAGCGCAGGACGGATTTCCTCCTACCACTCGCCTCTCACCTGGCCCCACACTGTACCGAATCGCCTGATGGTCACTATGGGTGTAACCCTGTAGGTTGCCCTCCAAACTCGGGCTGCAGTATGTCACGTCGATGACGGATTCTGCACCATTCCTTCTGAAGGTACTGACCGAGCCGGTGTTGGATAGTACAACGTCCAGCTTGGCCATTGCCTCCAGTAGGATGCATCCTCTCTGGTTGGTGTGGTGGCTGCCCCACTCCACCGCCCATGCGTTAAAGTCGCCCGCAATGACAACCAGTCTTAGGCCGACAAGTACCGCAGTGAGCCTGTCCACCATCTGCGAGAACTGCTCGATAGACCACCTGGGCGCAGCATAACAGCTACTTAAATATACTCCATTAACCCTAGCGATCACGAATTCCTCGCTCGAGTTGGACACGACTACCTCCTGAATGGGGAAGCTCCCCATCGTGCATATCGACGCCATCCCCGACGCGTCCGTGACCCAATTCCCGTTGCCGGAGATGATTGCGACATCTGCTCCCCATTCCACTGCCGATTGCCACAGCAGTTGCTGGGCAGCCGAGCAGTGGTTCAGGTTCAACTGCGCTACCCCGAACATGGCTTAGCATTGCTCTTGGCCCCCGGGCAGCGTGGGCCACCTGCCATGTGGTTGGTAGGGGATTTCCCCTTCTCCGCGCATATAGTGCACCTCGGCGGCTTTTGGCAACCTCGCGCCTTATGGCCCTCCGAGCCGCACCATCGGCATAGCTTGCTCCTGTCGGTGTTCTTACAGTCGCGGGCCACATGGCCCTGACCGAAGCACCTAAAGCAAGCCATAACCGGTCGTGGATGCTCACCGGGCAAACCGACCAACCCACTCGTACTTCCCCTGTGGCTGCCGCCTTCCTGGCATCAACTGCCGGGAGCTTAACGGTAGCCACCTGGGTGGAGAACAGTCCCTTCCTCAAGGTAACCGCTGTCGGCGGTACCTCGATTTGGCACTGCTCCCTGAGCGCCTTGGACAGTTCGGTCGCCTCTGTCACTTCATCCAAGTCCTTAACCTGGATGGTGATCGTTGAGCCTAGCGATCGTACCTGCGCCCCTTTTCCAACGACCTCGTTTGCCAGTTTCTGGAAAGTTGGTCCTTGGTCTCTAGCACCACGCTTTAACACCAGGAGCATCTCGCCAGTACGAGTGCACCTGATGCTCCTCACGCTGTAGCCCATATACACAAGACGCTCGTCGGTTCTCATCTTCCTCAAGACTTCCGCGTACTTCGACGCTTCCGTCTTGATGATGAGAGCCTCGCCCATCATCCTGTGTCTATTCCGGGCATTGCTGCTCTTGGGGGTTTCGGAGATTTCGGGGAAGCACCCTTTTTGTTACCCTGCTTTGAAGCACCTTTCTCATTCGCTTGTATTCCTATTTTAGGCCACTTCTGCGGCTCATGCACTACTGCCTCGGACTGCTCAACCACAGTCACACACTCTACCTGGGCGGAGACTTCCGTCTCTTAGAGCGTGCCATACCCTTTACTGGCGAGGTTCGGTCACGCTTATGCCCTTGTGTCACGGCAAAGTGTTGGGCCTCGCTGGCCATTGTACTGTTGCCTGCGAAGTTGAAGGCGTCCGTCTGGGTAGACTTTGGTTTCTTCTTCTCCGGCTTCTTGGCGACTTACAGTCGCTTTTCTAGCCGCTTGTGGTCATCGTGGGCCTCATGCACCGTTGCGCGGAGCTGTCGCAAGGCCTGCTTGAGGTCCTTTGCGATATTGTCCCGCGTGCTGGTGAATTCGATGATCGCATCGAGCTGACCCGCGATAGCCAATATCCTAGGTAGGGCCCCAAAGCCATTTATGGCTTTTATTAGTCTGGGCCTTGATAGAGTCACTGGGTGGGGGAGATCTCGTAAGACCACCCTTCGCGAACGGATTCGCGGTCGCCTCCTCGGTGATTTGTTCTCTGGTTTGGGTTTTTGAGCTTTTTTGATGATTGTTGTTAATCATCGCGACTATTGGGTCCCCCTTAGAGCTCTATCCTACCGTGCAACTGGAATAGTCGCTGATTGATCCCCATGAATGCCTATGCAAGCAGTGAGGTCCATGACAAGGGTTGACATAGGCCTTCATGGGGCGTTATGTTCAGAGCCGGATCGCGTAAGACGGGAATAACTCAACCGAACCTATTCCCACCGCAGTCTCCCAACTGGGTGGCACGGAAGGAAAGTATTCTAAGGCCTGCCAGTGTTTTATGGGACGGAGACGAACAAGGCATTAGCTCAAACATCGTTTCGGTCGGTTCCACCCGACTGTACTAAGAGGATGAAATACCTTGGCCGCCAGCCCGTAGCGTGGTTTGTAAGAAGTTTCCGCTCGGTTTCCTATATACGGCCAGTGGTGTCAGTAAACATACTTGCGATCTTACTGACATCGATCACAAGGCGTCGTCCGGCGCATCCCGTCGCTTGTTGTTCGATTAGCCAACTGGATCAGTACCGCAGCACTGGTGGTCCATCGTTTCCAGGGTGCACACGAGGAGGCGAACAATTTCACACCCCAGGCCTGCTGGAGTAAGAGGTAATCACGCTTACCACTACACCACCGGCTTCGCTATGATTTTGACTTGTAGAATGCAATATAAACTTCAAAAAACCATGTAATGTTACTCTAGTACTTACCACGATTTCCATCTCGGTTATGAAGATTTAATTATGCCAATTGCCAGCACTATTTTCAAGATCATACAGTAATGATACGATTTTGCCAGCGCCGTTTTTGAAAATTATTTCTTGGATTATAAGAAATCCATATCTTATTGAACCAAAATATACATTAACCATCCATCTTGAAGATGATTAAAAAATATTTGGTATTACGGTTATGTAAAATTATTGACATATGAAAGTCTGATGCGGGCTAACAAAGTCAGTCATTACTGTATAGAGTAAATGCCTTTTTCTGTCGCGGTAAATAAAATTCTTTATCACTCAAATTTGTCCAACCGATGCTCTGAAACACGGTGCATTCTAATGCAAAAAAATGAGCGCTCAAGGACTTCATTTATCCCCTAGGTAAAGCTATTTCCGAAACCGTCCTTTACCCTTTAGCCACGGGCACGCTATTTCATCAACTTGAAATTTCAACCACTTTTCTTGTTAGAGCCATGTTCCACAAATCGATATTACTGGTGTGCTGATTTGCGGCTTTGCACCAGCAACGTTAAACCGGAGAAACTTTCACCAACCTTCCAGTCCCGCTTCTTCATCCCGATCCTGGTTGTAATCTTATTTGAAATTCAGCTCCTTTTTCCACCCGGATTTACTTCCGGCAAAAAGGCTTATTTAGATTCCTTCTCCCATGGCCACCGAGTGCACAGGAGAATAACAGTAAAAAGTTGGATAGAAATGATTTGCCATTCGTTCCAGCTAGCTATTCCCATGCGAAACAATTCCAGCTCCACCGGAAGAAGCTTAGCTTGGTTCGGTGAAAGCGAAGTAAAAGCCTTTATTACAACCTCAAAACCAAAACAGTTTTGATATTACAGAGAGGTACCGTTGTTTGCGGATGGAGTTGTAGTCGGTATTATTTTTTCTCGATTCCTTGATAGCTGATACCAATTGCGGTCAGTATTCAGCTTAAACTCCATCCGCACACAACGGTACCTCTCTGTACATTATTGGTTGGTTGGGTGGTATTGGATTCAAAATCCTTTCTCTGGGTTGGGGGACGTCATGCTGGAGGGCAAAATCGTACTTTGATGAGCTTAGATGGAGGGATTTGATAAAAAGGAACTATCATTTTTTCCCTGCTTCAATCCGTTAGATGCGGTTTGAGGTTCAAAACAATGAAAGTTATCTACCGAGCTTGAATGAGCTCGAATTTCAGTGCTGATTTAATCGCTGGAAACAACCGACTTGAGAGTGTGTTGATTGATTTTTCATTGGTGTATTTTCTTTCATTTTCAGAATGGATCAAACGATGGACAACTGTCGGATTCTGGTCGACGTCGACTGCAGTCGCTACGAAAATGACGCCTTCTCGCTGCTGGACAAGTCCGCCGAGGTCAACGTGGTTTCCGATCTCAAGTCGTCCACGGTTTCGGCCTTCGATCAGTTAGACCACTCATTTACGATCTTTCGAACCCTTTTGATAAACTGTTAACCTTTCCAGGACGAGTTTCTCGCACCTTAGCTCCTCTTCGCGTACTCAGCTGAAGCAGCAGCTCCTGCGTGAGCAGGTCAAGAGCTACGACACGGAAAGGAGCCCATTGTACTCACCGTCGGTTTTCTCCGTTAAACTTCCGCTGGAGAACATGGACATTGATCTTCCGAAGAAGGTTCTCCAGGTGGAAACTCGCCTGGAGAATCCCACCCGGTACCACGTGATCCAAAAGCAGAAGACACAGGTCCGCGAGTACGTTACGGCCGCACTCAAGCTTACCAAGCAAACGGTGCTCCGCGAGGCAAAGCATTCCCGTCTGCTGATCCTGATCAAGCTGTACGATTCGTTCATCAACACCAAACCAGCAGCGGCTACGGCTGGGCCCAGTGGTGGTGGTGACATTGCCGGAGGCAGTGGCAGTGGTGGATTTACCCAAGCATCAAGTTCTTCGGCGAGCGTGGTGGCCAACACGCTCGAACAGCAGCAGGACTGGCGTCTGGAGATGAAACTGTCGGCTCGCTTTGGGAACCGCATCTACCAGTCGTTCATCGACGAGTTCGACTACATCCGGGATCTGCTGTGCTTGATCCGTTTCGAGATCCCCAAGTGGGTCTTTGTGGTGACGGAGTTCGAGAGTGAGATTTCTTCGTTCCAGAACACCAAGGCCACCGCCGGGGTCGAGGAACTGCTGATCAAGCAGACCTTGGCCGCGGAGAAGAACTCCAAGCATGAGAAGTTCATCGAGCCGGAGGTGAGAGACCGCATCAAGAAGGACAATCACAATTGCAGTAGGTATCGGGGTAGAGTGGGGATGGGATGAATGGGTTTTCCCCTTGGTGTTGATTTGGTAGGTCGTTTAGGTTTAAGATTTATTTATATTATAGTCGTTTCCTATGGTTCTGCACATCAAATTATATCTGCACATATTATGAATATATTTATTCTATAATCTAATCCTTTTGACCAACTAATCAATAACATTACTTCGATCAGATTTCCAAAGTATTTTATCTAGGTTTTCAGGAAGCCACAGGAAGAACTGCTGAGTTCTTGCAACTATGGGACTGGTGTCTAATGAATGACATTTGGAGCCTGCTGGATTTTGGTTGAGCGGTCTACACAAAACCGGAACACGGCATATTGTTTTTTCTTATTTATTTTTTCATTAGTATCTGTTACACCACGTAGATGAAAGTCTGTGAGGTTAATTCACCCAAGCACCTACGTATCCAACCTTGTGGACATGGCTATGGACCGTACACCGTGTTGTCTCAGAAATCCCAACGACTGTGACTGAGATTGAACCCAGACTCAACCGGGAGAGCAACAGTCACGCTTATCATTCACCTATCGATGCGACGCAGTTAACGAATTGCTTTAAAACTTTTTCATTTTGGACGAGTACTTTTTTTTCCTTGGATTTTTTTTCCGTCGATCTTGTTTTCCGTGCTGAGCACCAATGCTACCGACGTGCCAGGAAGGCAGCACCCACACCTGGACCCTACCTATCGACCCATCAACTCATGAACCGGGGACCAACGGCTTTACTTCCCTTCCGAAGGAAGGCGTGATCAGAGATGCTATGCCTCAGAACATCCCGGCGGCACCGACTGTGATTGAACCCAGGCCTGCTGGGTTGAGAGGTAATCACGCTTACCACTACACCACCTGCGCCGCTAGGACGAGTACTTGTAATTAAAATTATTCTGCCAACGTCATTGAAGTTATTAGGTGATACGAATAAAAGAGTCTATTTTGATCGCACCGTTAGAAAAGCCTTTCTCGTGCTTTTTCTATGTATACGACCAATTGTTTGTGATTTGAAATTAATTGAGCAATACAAAAGAGAACATATATGTAACTATATTATTTTAAATTGAATGAAAGATATGCAATGCTATTTATTAAATGAAGATTCCCTTAAGAGACACACGGAATGTACGGGGATACAGGGTGGCCGTGACGCTTTTTTTCCTTGGTTTGTTTTCTGTCGATCTTGTTTTCCGTATTGAGTACTAATGCTACCGACGCCAGGGAGGCAACTCCCACACTTTGACCTTACCTATCGACCCATCAACTCAAGGACCGGGGACCACCGGATTCACTTTTTCTTCCGAAGGAAGGCGTGATTAGATATTTTATGCCTCAGAAAATCCCGGCGGTGCCGACTGGGATTAAACTCAGGCCCTTTGAGGTGAGAGGCGTTGAGCAATCAAAACGCAAACCTCCTTGCTGCCATCGTATCCAGACCAATTAGGCTGCACCCAGAGACAATGTTATATAAGAGACGCACGGAGAGAATGAAAGTAAATCTAGTTGCACGGCCAACTAATTTCTTTTTCTGCAAGGTTTGGCAACCCGCATTTTTTTGTTTACTTCAAGTGACTTTTAATTTGAGCGACTGTCATCTGCTTCAGCATTATGGTTAAATGAATACCTTTTTAACCGTATCGGTAGTATCGCTATACAATGGAAGTATTTGAAGACTCAATTTTTGGCAACTTTGAGTGAAACTATTAAATATACCACATTGAATGGTATATTCTACAGAGCGTTGCACAAAATTATTCAACTGCGATTGTTGCTTCCTTTAATGTATGAGAGAAATCTCTCTTTTTAAGTCTTTCACAAATTTTACTATCTTGAAAAATTTCACCGGATACGCCTTGATCTTTGTTACAGAGTCTGTGTAGATGTATTTCGTTGTGCTGGAGCAAATATTTCGTAAGATTATAACGAGAATTCAGCTGGTGAATAACAATAATATTCCCTGTCCAATTTCACTTTTCTTACGCAAACTTTATTATAATTATTTAAATCTCTACAGTTAACCAGCGTCTGGCTGAACATCTCCTTAATAAAGGCAACCAACCTCAACAATTAAATTCAACCCCAATCACAATACTTCCCACGCTTTTCTTCGTGAAGCGCTCGTGTTTATTTACATTGCTCCATTGGAACCGCGTTTGACAGTTCGATTGGAACTCTTTGCGCGTCTCTTATTTAACATCGTTTCTGCCTGCACCGTTCTTCGTAGGGCGGTAATATGGCTGTTTAGTTCCAGGGCAGAACACGTAAAGCGTAGCTTATGAAGGTTCTTTGGATGGCTAAGATCCTATTTGCTTGTATAAGATCGTTTCACCAAGCGTTGCTCTAAGACTAGAAGGTCCCGAAGAAACATGCTCAGCTAATCGATGCACCCCTCGAAACATAGGAAAATCCACGAACCCCCCATTCTATCCGTCAAACTTTCATATCGAATCAAAACAAACATAGTGTAGTACTAGAATTTCCACTAGAATGGGGTACGTTAATCGATTTACTTGGGATCAATAGGCTAGTAAACTAGTAAGCCAATTAGCCAAATCGTTAGTTTCCACCGGTAGAACCGTAGAACGAACCGGGTATAGTGGCCGCTGGCAAGCTCTGACTAGATCTTCACGGGATTGATAAAACGGCAGAATCCTTTGCTGATGGCAATCTTAATGGTACCGTTGTATCTGATAATTTTTATTATCCTCCCACAACTGTAAATACTCGGTTGAATCGTTATTTTTCGAACAAATTAGTTCACACAAAAAAACCGGGGACAATCTTTTTGGCCGTGACTATTTTTTTGTTATTTGGGTCCTGGCTGAAGTCCATTTTTACAAACGTCTCATTCTGATTTTTTGATTCTGTTACCTGTATTAGAGGTGTGCACCGCCGCGCCAAGCCGACGCCACCGGCACTTTTTGGGCTACGCCGCCGCTGACACAATTTTATCGGCGCGTCGATTGAAATTGCATTTAGAATTCATTGTAAAATTTCCTCGTAATTCCTTTGGAATTTTCATCAAAATTATAGAATAAGTTCTTCATAGTGATTGCATTAGGAAAATCTAGAAGTTGAGAAGGTTACTATTTTCCAAAAAGAAGACGAAGTATATTCTCCCGGTGATTTAGAATTTCCGGCTTTTTCCCGATTTCCCGGTTTACTGGTCACCCTGTGCATCTGAATAACATTACTAGAGAGCAACACAGAAGACGAAACTAACTCAGAGAGCGAGTAACTTTAGCTCATTCGTAAGGATACATTTCTAAATGCGTTGGTCACTCAGCGCATGGGTAACCTACTTAAAAGTGACTCACTCTCTGAATAAGATTCGTTTTCAGTAAATGTATAGTAGACGGCTTAAGCAAGCCTTTTGAATCAAATGCTACTAGCGCTGTATGATGAGTGAATTCTGAACTAAGAGGCCAATCATGCGATAGGTATTGTCCATTCGAATAACTTCACTGAATACAGAAATCTGCTTTCTGGCCGTGCTGTCAAGTTAAAACCTACATGGTTAGAAAAAAGTACCCAAAATTAAGTTCTTTTCACTCATCTCGGCACTATAGTGCAGGACCAAAAGTAGGTAAAGCGGGTTAAAGTAATTTTCATTTACTTGTGTGCAGTTCGTATGGAATTTTCCACTGGCTTTTTAACCAAAAGTAAGTTAGTTGTACCCAACAGTAGGTAAATATGATTATACTCAACGTTGGGTTCCCACACTTTACTACCCCTGTTGGGTCGTTTTGCTCCTCCGTTTTTAACAACATTAGAAGGAGAAAAGGAGACAAACTAGTCAAAAGTAGGTAAAAGTGAACTGGCCGTTGGGTACTTTTTTCTTACCGTGTAGAATATGATGCAAATTGCACACTGAGCTTGACTATCCAATATCCAATGTCTAGCCGAGATGGCAAGCTAAATACATTGAAACGAATACTACTCAGAGAATGAGTCTCTTTTACTGATTCGTATGGAGAATTTTTTTTAAATAGTAGGTTAACAAACCTTCGATTTAAGAAATTTTTTCAAACGAATGATTAAAAGTGACTCATAACTGAGTGAAAACTATTCACGCTCTGAGTTAGTTTCGTTTTTAGTGTGCAACGCAACGAACAACTCTGTTTATCACTCGGCAGCCAAACGATGACTGCAGTCAAACTTTCTACATTTCGCTCAGTTAAGCATTTGGATTGTCATTCTATGGCCCTCCTTTTTCTATATTTAGCTGATGTAATTTTTGAAACTTTCGAAAGGTTTTTATTTATTTATGACTAAACATCAACACGTAGGCGTCATTGGCCCCAATGATGTAGCCTAAAGCACATAACATATGTGGAACTCGGTCATAAAAAATCGACACCATTTCAGTGATTTCAAGTGGTATAGTAGGACATCGATCTGTCAAACTGATTATACCAGCTGTAAAATGAGAAAGGAGATCAAGGGGGTAGTCAATTCTATTAAAATATTTCTAACATGGTTTATAATTCTATGTCTTCATAGCGCTCTTGAACTCATGTCTTTGTGTTGCCATAATAATTTACGTTCGATACATATAATTACATTGCTTTTTTAAATATATAGATTATCGTTTGCATAAAAAAGGAGACATTTTTTGAAACTGTTTGAAGCGATGATCTGCCACCTAAAATCGTAAGCTGCCGTGTGTTAACTTTTTACAATTCTATTTTAAAAGCGAGACGTATTACTTTTCTGTAATTGTGACCAAAACATGGAAAACTCCAAGCGATTACTTCTATATTTCTTAATTATTTTTTCGTCGGTACTTTTTTTTTTCATTTTGACGTAGAACTACGTCTTTGTCGACTATACTGGGGTGCAAATCAAAAAATATGTGTGGTGAAGGAGTGTTAGGTTTTGAACGCTTGTAACTTTGCCATTTATAAATGAAATTAAAATCCAAATACGCCAATCGGTAGGATATTACATTACGAACCTGCTGAAATAAATATTTTTCCATTTTTTTGTAATTAAATTATTGAAAATGTACAAATGATAATTTTATCACTGTTTTCATGAAATAAGCCTTTTTCCCAAACCCAGTCATCATAAACGAATACCACTTGGTTGCACATCATTCTGCTTGAACATGAAAATATATAAATTAGCGCTGCTCTCCTGCCTCTGCTTATTCCCGCTTCAGACGGCGTGGCACTAGGTCCTGCAGCAAGTAAGACTAAGGGAGCGGCTAAAGGTGGATCACGGCGTGTCCACCACAATGAGGAACGAGACTTGAAAAAAAGTGTGTATAACAAAAACCCTCTCCCCGTTAACAACCTCTCCCCCTCCCCCTTTAACAATAACCCGAAAAATACATGGACTTTGACGATAATTCTTTTTCCGGGAAATAAATTTTAAGCAAACCACAAATAGGTAGAAACAATTAATTTTTTACATGCAGAGCCAACATTTTCAAAAAACAATTGCTTAACAGGAGACATACACTCGATGGACTGTAAAACATATCTGGTACCTCTATATATGCAATTATATTAACATCCAAAGTCCATCCTATTTTACATATTCTGCACAAAAGAAACTTTCTGCTCCGCCCATTCATAGAAAAAACGGCGGGAAATCCTGTCAGGTTCGGTTGCACATCGTTCTGCTTGAACCTGAATAGATATAAAACAGCGCTGCTGTCGTGCTTTTACTCATTGTCGC